TTAGCTATACATGCTGCATATTTGAGACCAGACTCATCACCCTATCTGCATTGCTTCAGTGGTGCCAGTGAGCATCCGGTTTTTTTTGTACTCACATTTTTTTTCAATATTGGATTTCCCTAGTCGTTTCTGGTGTGTTTTATCACTACGGACATCATCAAAACAAACTTAGGATATGCTGAGTTTTCAACATTTCGCGGCAGGCGTGAATTCTTTTCTAGTGCGTTGAAGAGTTGTTTGTTTTATTTCCTGTACTGTGATAGTACTTGAGTAAAGTGTTGATAGGTGTCATCGGATTATCTGTGTTTCGCAAGTGTGGACAATACGCCTCATCTTTGCAGGTAAACCTGCCACTGTACTCCATGAGGATTATCACCCTTTAATTAATACCCAACCCTATTGTACATAAGCGATTCACTGTCGATATTCTCGTATAACTTTGTAGAAAAAAACTCAGAAATCCCCGAAGGTGGATTTTCCTAGCATGGCCACTTGAATTGCGGCAACGATTTTGGATGTTTGCTTTCTGCATGTAAACTGTGTAAGCCCACTGCATGCTCATTCCTAGCCAGTGAGCTGGTCAGCTCGCCTACACAGGTAACAATTCCATCCCGGAGGATGTACTGAATTCGATGTACAAGAAAACCTGGTGTAGGCGGCCTCTGCGTTTAGCGACCACCTGCTGATACCGACCGTTTTTCCATGCACGGACAGTTCGTCAGCTTGCACCATGGGGTGGCCGCTTAAACTAGGTTTTACGGTACATACATGTCATGTACATCACGTGTACTTATGGGTATGTATGGGCTCTTGCCTACACTCATGTGAAGAGACAGGATGATCCTGTACAGTGCTGGCAACTGAAATCCGACCTCAGAGCAGTGCGTTCGCATTCTAGCGGTCTCCATTTCGTAGTGTCACAATACTGTGTTGGGTCTTTACGATCTGAGCGAACCGCTCAGGGGTCGGATTTCAGTGGCCAATACTGCACCTGTTGACCATGCATGAATCGTGCACATCATCTGCAGGCATGCACTCCTGAGTAGAGTAGAGACTTTCAATAATTAAAAGAACGCTAGAATACTCTGGACTACTGACATGTGACAGAGCATTGACCACAAACAGGGGTGCCAAGCAGACCTGCAAAGTACTGCACGAACATGGTTTACCAGGGGGGGGGGGGGGGGGGTGGAGATTCTGACTGATTGACAACATTATACTGGCACTGACCTAGAGTAGAGCACTGACTACATACAGGGTCGTGCAAACAAATACAATCTATAGGTTTAATGGCTAAGCTTATCCAAGAAAGTTCTTTGGAGTTGATTTTGTTGGCATCAGTGCCACAAATCATTCATACTGGACAGCTGCCAAGGGTTATGGCAGAATGATACAATGTCGAGTACCTGTAGGATGTTTGTATTCTACCGAATCCAGCTAACTATAATATTAAGGAGTGCTGGGACATCGACATGGACAACTCTGGAGGGCGTTCAGTTCATCCTCCAGTCTGTCTACCGTCAGACAAAGCTCGATATTATAACGTTCCAGTTCCTTGATTCTCAGCGAATCTTCTTCGGCCTTCTTCTTCGTCTTTTCTCTGTGGCGTGCGGCAGTTAGCTTGTTTCGGTTGCGGCGTCGCTGTAACATTTCGTCACTTTTCCCGACCTTTTGATCTCCGTCAAGGTGCTGCTTTTTTCCTGCTATTGCACGCATAACGTCATTGCTAAGTTGTATCGGCTTAGCATCGGTTTGTGTCTGAACTGCAGGAAGGGTGACGCCGACGACAGGCGGAGACTGACATTCATGTACTTGGTCCGTTTCATCGCAATTGTCGCTTATCTATCGCAACTAAGAACAGGAGTTTTTTTACCGCTCTGTGAAATTTCCAATACGCATAGTGAAGAAGCATGATACAGGATTCCTGTCCGCCACAAGAAATAAATTCAGCGATGGAATCTGATGAAGCAAGTCGAAGAAAGGAAGCAAGGTTACAAAAAATGTACAAAAGAAAACAGCGACGGAGCGCCTTCTTGCACTCAGGCTTTAGTTTATCCGACTCTGGCTCTGTATCACTCGAGCTGATGCCACTTGAGCTCACATTCACTGGTGTGTATAGCTGCTAGCGTAGAGTACCGTATCTCTTGCGTTCTCCGCTTGGCGTGAAGCAGCGATGGGAAAGGAACAGTCGCGGTTGTCACTTTGGCACTTGGAGGAACGTGGGCAGCGTGACCCGTCTGTCACTACAGTACTGTGTGTTCAACAATGTTTTTGAATCAGGCACACATCCCTCTCCAGACAGCTGTCATACGCTCTGCTGGATACGCTGACCACGACTCTTGTACTGCCGCTGCCAGGTCGGACAATGTCTTCTTTGCCACCATCTCGCCATCAGTTTGCAGGCTTGCAAAGAATACCAGGTCATTGCAGTTCAAAAATTGCAGTTCAAACAACTGAGCTGGCTGGCCTGGCCGTGACTGTCACGCTCTCCAGGTCAGGATGTCGATTTCCCCTGCTACAGTTCCAGTCTTTGAGCTGCGCTTGGCTTTTCGCTGCAGTGAATGTGTGCATTCACTGCAGTGCATTCACTGCAGCGAAAAGTTTCCCACTTTTCCATCAAAATTGTATGAATCGCGATGCCACTGGCGCTATTCGCGATGGTTTTTTTCTTTCTGGTCTCCTCTGATCTTGCCATCACAACCTCCCAAACGAATGTGAGTTAGATATCGAGATCGGACTGGGTTTCACCTGTCAAAAGGTGCGTGGGAGATAAGCGACAATTGCGATGAAACGGACCAAGTACATGTTGCCTTGAATCAAACGATGATGATGATGGTGGTGATGATGATGACCGTGCTGTTGCGGTATGCTGGCGGCGTGAGGCACTAACTTGGCCACTCCAGGGGTTAGTGCTTGATTGTGCAATCGTAGGTAATGCCGCAATCGTGTACTGTATCTGTGATGCTGTTGTACGTGCATTGTCATTGCTAGGGTGAACAGCGGAGTAGTGGTCAAGATTGTATGCACCGCGAGGGGCAGTACTGGCCTGTCTTTGAACTGCAGGACTTGCCAAGTCGCCATCAGGTGATAACTGACAATATGCATTTGGGCTGGAATCAGACAACAGCAATGATCTTGGTATTGCGGGATGCGGGTGGTGTGGGGCATCAACCTGGCCAACTCTGATAATCTGGGCTGTTGATTGATTACCCTGAGGAGGAGAGAAACAACAGAGCAGTAGAACTGATTGTAATGTACGAAGCTTTCAAAACAATTCACCGGCCATATCTTACGTTAAAGGGGAAGTATACCCTAAAATCAAATTTTCACCAGTTGTAGTCTTCTGGGTGCTGAGTCGAATGGTCTTGGTCCGAGGAAGCTGCGACGCTCCCTTCCCACTTGTATCCCAATCGAACTCGCGCACTTCCACCGAAACTGGGTGACTGCGCCCTACTAGATGGGGATTTGTATGCAAAATGTCACTAAAAGCGCCATTTCGTTCTGATAAAAGCACGGATGACCGCCATTGGCCCATATGTTGTAGTCTTTTGGACGCTGAGTCGACTGGTTTTGGTCCGAAAAGGCTGCGACGCAGCGTTCCTCCTTTATTCCCAATCGAACATGGTTGAACAAGCGGTCACGTGCTCCTGGGTGCCCAAATCACCTGGTCACCATGCCAGCAGGCGACAACTTTCACACCAAGGTTCAACTCGACTTCAACTCGAGTGACAAGACTGCACCCAAAAAAGGTCAAACAGGCTAGTAAGTTGTACCCTGCAGGCACGGTGACCAGGTGACTGGTGTACGCAGGAGCACGTGACCGCTTGTTCAACCATGTTCGATTGGGAATAAAGGAGGAACGCTGCATCGCAGCCTGGTGAAAATTTGATTTTAGGGTATACTTCCCCTTTAATAGCTGTTACTCCGAAGTAATAGGTTAAGTTGCTATCACAAGTCGAGAAAGAAAATGACAAAACAAATGCATTGTGTGCTGAAAGAGTAATAAAACGTCTCCTATTATAGCTTTTTGATGTTTGATCATTGGACACAAACACGTCCTGCTGTTCTGGAATTGGCAATCCAGTCGAAGACCGGCGCCTTCAGTGTGTACAGAACACAGCATGCAGTGCACATGTTGATTCGATGCGACCGAGGTGCTGAAGCGCATACGTGCATGTGTGTATGGCCATCACCCTCGGGCCGCTAGACGTGCGACCGGATTTACATGTCCACGGCAGTATAAAGATGTTTCCGCAGACCAGTGCAAAGCCGAAAGATACAAGGGATCATATTCTGTTTCTTCCTGGTCCGTTTTCTTGAGCAGTGCATCTGCTAAGCCTTTTCCCTTGTCCCTTTTCATTTTCCTTTCATCTTATCCACCCTTCCCGGAAACCCACATGAAAAGTGTTATTTACTTGTGGAGAATCCTTCAAATCAAGTCTAAATGAAATGAAATCACTTCAAATCAGCGATATCGTCAAAACCAACAAACAGTGGCAAATTCTAGTCTTCCCACATTGCAAAGCTCTGTTGAGTTGGATTCTGATTCAGAGTCGTAGCTAAACGTTTTCAGCGGCCCGTGTGGGGAAAACAGAATTTGAGGTGGCAGTGGAAAAGCTTTCATGGAGTAAGCCAAATGTCTTAAACTGCACGTCTGTGGACCGGAGAAAGAGGTTTGGACGAGATTTCCACATGTTTTCTCACCTGATCAATCCCTTTCTTCAGTTTCCACAGCAGCTATAATCAAGCTTTCATGCACATGTGAGACGTTTAAGCCTGATACAGCCTCGCTGGGAAATGGCAGCCGATTAGCCAACACAGCTTCGCCAACACTGAAAAAAGTAAGAACGGTCGAGGGAGGATCGTACTATGTACGAGTCGTACGTCTACTGGACGTTCCCGTGCAGTAGCTCACGAAACTCACGACACGAGGTACTGCAACGCCAGTTTGCCTCCACCGCTGTTGTCTTGGCGGACCAGATTGAAAACTCCTGTTTCAAAATGTTTCTCCAGCCTCACTCTGCCAATTTTATCCCCTTGTACAAAATCTTCTGGCAAAAATTGGTCACTGTAATAGTAATTATCACTCCCTTATTATTGACCGCCACAGAAGCTTGTGATCTCTAAGCGGTCAAATATCAGCATATTGACCGCTTATATTGACCACTTATTATTGACCACTTAGCCCGAGGACTTGGTTTTTCCTCAACTTAGAAAAAAATCAGAACTGAAAGAAGAAAAATCTGAAGCCAAATGCTGGGATTTGAACCCAAACTGTCAGATTCTCAGTCAAAGAACTTGGGGGGGGGGGGGACATACTACAAGAGACAACTGAAAACTTTGGTCCACACAGAAGTAATGTCCAATGTAAATGGCAAATGTACATACCATATTATACTACAAGTATTACAATAGATTCCTTTCTTCCTATACTGGCTATAGCAAAGCAAACACAGTTTTAGGTATGCTATGTCATAATAAAT